TGTTAATCCACCAAAAGACAGTACACGATGGTCGCAAAGACTACGCCTGTGACAAATGCGAGAAAAAATTCGGACAAAAATCGCATTTGCTCATACACCAAAAAACAGTACATGAAGGTCGCAAAGATTATGCCTGCAACAATTGCGAGAAGAAATTTACACAAAATTCGAGTTTGCTCACTCACCTAAAAACAGTACACGATGGTCGTAAAGATTACGCATGTGACAAGTGCGAAAATAAATTTGGACAACAAATTTCTTTAATTAGACACAAAAAAACGGCTCACGAAGGTCGGAGAGATTTTGCATGCAATAACTGCAAGCAGAAATTCGGAGAAAAGTCAAATTTGTTGAAGCACCACAGGACAGTCCACGAAGGCCGCAAAGATTACACATGCGACAATTGCGAGAAGACATTTACAAAAAAATCGAGTTTACTCTGCCACCAAAAAACAGTACATGAAGGTCGCAAAGATTATGCCTGCAACAATTGCGAGAAGAAATTTACACAAAAATCGAGTTTGCTTTACCATAAAAAAAAAGTACACGAAGGTCAGAAATATCATGCATGAGGCAAGTGCGAGAAGAAATTTGGGCATCAGGCCAATTGCATCAATCAACAAAAAACACACCAAATTTATAGAGATAACAGACGCATTAAGTGTAAAAATGAAGATAATAAGACTTGCAAGTATGTGTTGACCCTGAAAAAGGTCTATAAAATTTATAGCAACTACCTATTGCACGAACCTCGAAGTTTGTAAGAATTATATTCTTATATATTGAATTCTAGTAGTAAGCTCTAGAGAATATCGACTATTGAAATATTTTGGATAAAGTTTGATCAGGTTTATAATCTTATTTATCTTGACAATACTCTTTTTTATAATGATTTGCTTTTCAACTAACACATTCCCATATCTAAAAGCAACGGTAAACGGCAAACAAATTTCAACCGTGTTTTCCATAATCACAAATGAAGTCAACTGTATACAATCGTACTTCAGACGATTATCAAGTTTTCATAAATAATTTATTAGTAAAACAATAAAAAGTGTTGATACTTTTCTTGACCACTGTAAATATCTATAAGACAATTATATAGAAGATTTTCTAAAATTTGAATAAAAATTTTGTCAAAAATTATTTTCTCCTTTCTTTAAAATTATTAGTACCTCCCATAATTGTATCTTATGAGTGAAAAAATACAATCAGGTCAGTGCTGAAAATTTACTCGTGTTTCGAAAAATTCATAACAATTTGTTTGATGACGTTTTTAAATAATAACGGATTGAATAAAATTGAGTTTGATTTTTAATGTTTGAAAAGCATTCGATAAAATATTTTTTTGCGAATATGATCTTTGGCCGAACTTTCAAAAACACGAAACGCAACTTACTTAAATGTACTTACGTATAAACTACCATACGCGTCAAACACAAGCGTACTTTATACTCGTGCAACCGCGTTCGGCAAAGTTTTCAACGCACTCGTGTACGGTTATATTATGCCTTATATATAATACGCGGCACACGGGGCTAAATATAAAATATTGCATTTGCTCGTTAGCAAACTCCGACGCGCGAGTGTGTGATTCTGCGCCTGGATTTTGTCCTGTACACCACGGTGGAAAGTATATATACAATATATATTTGTTTATTTTCAAGCAGAACGCGAGGCTAAAAAAAAAAAAAAGAAAAAGAAAAAGAGATGGAAAAAAAGTTGAGTGGTGCATACATACAGGCACATACAAATGGAAAACTCGTAGAGCGCACGGGCTCGCGAAATCGCGTTGTTTACCCAGTTTCTGAATTATCGATGTACGAGTTACTTTCCACGAGCGGCACGCGCTACCGAATAAACTGCACACTGCGTAGGCCATTGAGCGTATGACGGGTCACGTTCGGTGCATAATAATAACAATAATGGCTATAATAATGATAAATAAAGAAAATAAATATAACAAAATATTGGCAAAATCATTCGCGAATTGGAATTCTTCACTTCCCGAAATCCCCCTCAAAAAATGTTTACCGCGGACGACACGTAAAGTGTGTATATTATGTTATATACTCTGTAGCTTTATATCGCTCACTGGAGCTTACTCCAGAGTCGTTTATCCGTAAAATGCACACACACACACACACACACACACACACACCCATGAAATAAACACATCCGGCCAAATATCTATATGCCACGTTCACATTAATTGAAAGTAAACGTCGCACTGAACCGTGGCAGTATAAAAAAACATTATATAATGTATAGAACATAATTTAATATCGCAATTTCGGGCGTGCAAGCTCGAGAGCTAACTCTCGCTGACGCGGTTTATTAGTCGAGCAGCAGCAGCAGCAGCAACCCCGCTTCACTCTCGGTAATGTTGTAGCTGTACATACAGTATACTTTTTGAGAGGGCTGGTTTTAACATTCGACACGCGCGACGAGAGAGCTTCTCTCTCTCTGTGCTGTATACGTACACGCCCTCTCTCTCTCTCTCTCTCTCTGCGTCGCGCGTGTCGACAAAGTTTTAATTAAAAGCTCAAAATCAAAAACTCCCATATAAACGATGTTTTTGCCTCCGAATTCGAGAGCTCGCGCTTGCGAGCATTAAGCCCGAGCGCAAAACACGCTTGATAGATATCTCATGGACCGAGCGCGAGCGCGCGGCCGAGAAGATGTTACAAAAAAAGTGGAAAAAAAAAGTACGGGAAAGGGTTGGCACAAAAAAAAAGCGATAGAACACATCGATTAATTCCGACCGGTACGTGTGCGCGCAAAAACGAACGACAGGCAGGCAGGCAGAGGGGTGCAAGGGCCAGAGAGCAGCGGCATCAGCGTGGAGCGCGCGGCGCAAAACGAGAAAAAAAAAGTTTAAAGCTCGAGCGAGTGCGGCATATCCCGAAGCACACGCGCACATACATACATACATATATGGTATATATGTATGTATAAGTAAACGCAGAGAGAGAGAGAGAGAGAGATAGGTAGATATACATTCATTCCACCGGTGCACATATACACAGACACACACACGTAGCCATGAATCCTGCGAAGCGAACGTAAAAAATACGCCAAGGATCATCGTTCGCGCGTTACAACAATTTTTCCGGAGTGCTCTCGCGCAAACATGCGCTTTTTTTTCTCTCTCGCTCTCTTGCTCGCTCACTCCTACGCGCCCCCTCCCCCTTCAACAACACGTACATATACAGATATGTATTCTCTCTACTCGCGGTACTCTATATATATGTGGCACTGCAAGCTCTCTCGTCGCGCGGAGGCAGAAACAGAGAAAAAGAGAAAGAGAGAGAGTGAGAGATGAGCGAGTCGCCGTTGTAATAGCGTTGTTTTGTGAGTGTGTGTTTGGCTAGGATATAGAGTGCTACTGCTGCTGCTGCGCTACGTCGTAATCGCGCTCGCTCGCGAGGCCGAAAAAAAACGAGTGAAATTTGCATATATGCACAACCAACAGCAGCAGCAGTAACAGTGGTGTGGCGTGTGCCGAAGAGCGTGCAAAATGATCGAAGCTCTCTGTCCACATGCACAAATACACATACGCACACCCAATGCACCACGACTGGTGCTGGTGGGTGGTGCGGGTGGACTAGGGAAATCGCCATTCGCCGCGCTTAGCTCTCTCTCTCTCGTAGCTCTCTAAAATTCGGACCGTCAAGTTCAGTTATCCGAGCTCGCCCACCGCTAACCGGGGAGAGAGAGAGAGAGCTCGTACACACTCGCGCACACATACAGCCCAGATACGTAGGTGCAGTGGCGCAGGGTGCCTTTGTACTTGCAGCATCGTAGGTATACTCAGCTCTCGCGCTCGTACACGCGCCAAAGTACATTTTAGCGCTAATCTATGCGCCACCCTCGACTCTGCGGACTCGTCCCTCGTTATATGTGGCGCGCGTGTAAATCGACGCGCGCGGGTTTGACTGAGAGCAGCACCGCAGCAGGGCTAGCTGCTCCCTATATATATTTTCCCTTTTTCGCGTACCGCTATATATAGCTCGCGATCAAGCAGCAGCAACAGAGCACCATCGGCAAAGCGCGATTTTTAGCCTTTGTTCTCCCTCGGGCGCGCGTGTCCCTATATGTGTGTGTGTGATCGACGCCCGACTGATCTTTAATGAAAGGCACCTGCGACTACTACTACATTTTCTAATCCCTGATATATAATACATGTTTCGCAGCTCTCTGTATTCTACGCGTGGCACCCGTGGCACCTTTGAGCGCGTCGCGCACGCCCTAACCGTATCCGAGCTCGATTACGTTAGCAGGAGTTTAGAAACTCCGGCTGTAGATGCATCGCGCGTCGCCTATACCCATACCCGCAAAGACCAATCGCAACATGCGTTAGTTGGTAATGGACTCGAGCCGTAATTTTTTTTTTAAGTAAAAAATAAAATTAAAAAATTGACTAATTATGTATTTTTTTTTAATTTACGAAGCAACGGCTATTGATATTTTACTAACAACCGGCACCGGCAACTCTAATGATTCATTCAACTAAATTTCTAATACAGCGTAGGTAGTATCATTACGTGCTGTACTGGTGCGGTTTTTCTCTTGTTGTGTGAATAATGTTACACGTATTGTGCGCCTGGATGAATGCAATTTTCATTATGATTTCGGTGTAGTTTTCTTGGCACGCGAGTGACTCTATATATGTATCTCAGTACATATTTACGGATGGCCAGTCGATGGTATGGAGGGGGAAAGTATTGTCAAGGAGCTATCATAATCGCCGGGTCTCCTCGCTAACATATCAGTAGTGAGTTCATTGGCAAAATCGAAGTACAGTGTTGGCTGCCCGAGGCATGTATAACGTCGAATATTTTCTCCGTGTATAACGTGAAGAATCTAAGTTATTAAAAATCAGCAAGCGAGCGATGGGAGATAGAGAGGACACAGGTATAACTATTTATTATGCATGCCCTGATATTTTGTCAATCGATCGTAACATCAACCTTAAATATTTTTCTGGGTTAAACCAGAATCTAACGATACATGGGTATATTCAGGGGACGATGATAATTTCAATTCAGTGGACTTATGCGAAGTCCAAAACTTCGAAACATTTCAGTTTGATCCGTTATCGGTGAGCTCAATAATTTGAATCATGTTCCACTTTTCCATTATCCAAAACTATTACACAATTTTAATTTTAGGTCAATCGCATGAACGAGGTTATGGCATTACACAAAAAGTTAGATGGAAAAATTTTCGTGGATTTCGAGTGCAAAGAAGTTAAAGTTTATCTGCCGTCTCTATCGACAACCATCTGCAAAACTGAGTATCCAAATGGTCCGTCTATTGTAAAAATAGAAAATGAAAATCAGAATGACACATGTCAAAATGTAATCGTTGACTTTGAGTGTAAAAATGTTAAGCCTGAATTGACATCGCTATCGACGACCTTATGCAAATCAGAGTATCAAAGTTACCTACCTACTGAGAAAATAGAAAATAAAACTCGGACCAAATCCTTCGAATGTGATATTTGTCACAAATCGTTTGAAAAAAAATATCATCTAAAATCACACACAAATACAATCCATGTTTGTAACAAACCTTTCGAATGCGATATGTGTCACAGATCATTTGGAAAAAAGGGATACCTTGAAGATCACAAAATGACGGTACATTATCATATTAAACCCTTCTCATGCGATATTTGTCACAAATCATTTGGACGAAAAAGTAATCTCAATCAACACATTAATGTAGTGCATGATCGTAATAAGCCTTTTGAATGTGAAATTTGTCACAAATCATTTGGACACAAAAGTCACCTCAAAGTTCACATCAGTACAGTACATAATCGCAAAAAATCCTTTGAATGTGAGATTTGTTACAAACCATTTGGAGAAAAATGTAATCTAAAAACTCATATAAAAACAGTACATGATCGTATCAAACCCTTTGAATGTAACATTTGTCAAAAATCATTTGGATACAAGGGCGACCTCAAGAAACACATTAATAGAGTACATGATCGTAGAAAACCCTTCGAGTGTAATATTTGTCACGAATCATTTGCAAAAAAAAGTATCCTCAACAGACACATAAGTGCAGTACATGAGCATAGCAAACCCTTTGAATGTTATATTTGTCATAAATCATTTCGATACAAGGGCGACCTCAAGAAACACATTAATGCAATACACGATCGTAGAAAACCATTCGAGTGTAATATTTGTCACAAATCATTTGCACAAAAAAGTATCCTTAACAGACACATAAAGGAAGTACATGAGCATAGCAAACCCTTCGAATGTGATATTTGTCATAAGTCATTTGGACAAAAGTCTACCCTCAAAACTCACATCAATGCAATACATGATCGTAGAAAACCCTTCGAGTGTAATATTTGTCACGAATCATTTGCACAAAAAAGTAACCTCAACAGACACATAAGTGCAGTACATGATCGTATCAAACGTTTCGAATGTGACATTTGTCACAAATCATTTGGATACAAGGGTGATCTCAAGAGACACATTAATGAAGTACATAATCGCAAATTCTAGAACTGTGAGATTATCTCGAAGACATTTGGTCACAATAAATACTTTTACAATATTTACGCTTTGTGATTGTGAAAAAGTTCACATAGAAATCCTTCAAATTTTTGAAAAATAATAAAATAATTAAAACTGTTATTCATTTTGTTGTGACTGCGATAAAACTTATACTCCCCTGTTTTATATAAACTAAAACATAAACTATATTTCTTTCGTATCCGCTTCTTATTGATAAATGTGAGCAGAAAATCTTGGTCTTAAAATCCCCACAACGGATTTTTATACTGGCTGAAAATTAAATGGCTGTGATGATCAATAAAATAGCTCTGCAAGGACAACTCACAATGACACGATCAGATGTATATAGTCGTAGCCCGCAGTAGTTTTTCCTCACTTTTTTTTTACTCAACTCTTGCTTCTCTTTCTTCCTCTCTTTCCCGCGCCAATATATGTTATTTCGTGAAATTCCGCGCCCCCACGTGATATATATATAATACAAATTTAAGGAATCCTGACAAAAAGAGCTGCTGCTGATGCTGCGGCGCAATATGTGTACGTTGATCACGGAATCGAACCGTAATTATTTCAAAAAGTAAAAAATGTACACATTATGTATTTTTCAAAATTGTCGACCGCCAATGATATTTTATTACCACCATCTAATTATCAATTCGTTTTTTTTTTTTTTGAATGTTTCTCTGCACGTATGTGTAAGCAAATTATGCGCCTGTATAAATGCAATTTTCATTACGATTTCGGTGTAGTTTTAATAACATGCGAGTGCTTAAACGTATCTTTGAGTACATGTTTATGCATGGCCAATAGACGGTATGGAGGGGGAAAATCTGTAGTTCACTTCGATAATATATCAGTATCAGTATCAGTCAGAAGTACAGTGATGTAGGCTATTCAAGGCATATAACCTCGAATATTTTCTCAGTGCAAAGTGTGAAAATTCACGATGACTTCTTAAATAAACGATTCAAGCGAGTAATAATAAACTTTATCAAACGAGTCATGGAAAATGCAAAGGACAAAATTAGGTATAACTATTTATTATGTATGCCCTGATATTTTGCCAATCGATCGTAACATCAAACTTGAATATTTTTCAGGGTTAAACAAGAATTGAACGATACTTGGGTATATGCAGGGGACAATAATAATTACAATTCAGTGTACTTGAACAAAGTCCGCAACTTTGAAACATTCCCGTTTGATAAATCATCAGTGAGTTCGATAATTTGTATTATATTCCCCTTTTCGATTATACAAAACTATTACACAATTTTAATTTTAGCTCAACCACATGAATGAGGTTATGGCGTTACAGAAAAAGTTAGATGGAAACATTTTCGTGGATTTCGAGTGCAAAGATGTTAAAGTTGAACTGCCGTCTCCATCGACAACCATCTGCAAAACTGAGTATCCAAATGGTCCGTCTATTGTAAAAATAGAAAATGAAAATCAGAATGACACATGTCAAAATGTAATCGTTGACTTTGAGTGTAAAAATGTTAAGCCTGAATTGACATCGCTATCGACGACCTTATGCAAATCAGAGTATCAAAGTTACCTACCTACTGAGAAAATAGAAAATAAAACTCGGACCAAATCCTTCGAATGTGATATTTGTCACAAATCATTCGGAACAAAATATCATCTAAAAAGACACATAAATACAGTACATGGTCGCAGCAAACCTTTTGAATGTGACATTTGTCACAAATCATTTGGACAAAAAGTTACCCTCAATGTTCATATAAATACAGTACATGGTCGCAGCAAACCTTTTGAATGTAACATTTGCCACAAATCATTTGGACGAAAGCAATGCTTCAATCGTCACATAAGTGGAGTACATGATCGTAGCAAAGCTTTCGAGTGTGATGTTTGTCACAAATCATTTGGACGAAAAAGTAATCTCAATCAACACATTAATGCAGTGCATGATCGTAATAAGCCTTTCGAATGTGAAATTTGTCACGAATCATTTGCACAAAAAAGTAACCTCAACAGACACATAAGTGCAGTACATTATCTTAGCCAACCCTTTGAGTGTAAAATGTGTCACAAATCATTTGGATACCAGAGTCATTTCAAAAGGCACGTCAATGCAGTACATGATCGAAGCAAACCCTTCGAATGTGAGATTTGTCACAAATCGTTTGGATACAAGCATATCCTCAAAATTCACGTGAATGAAATACATATTTGTAACAAACTCTTTGAGTGTAATATTTGTCACGAATTATTTGCACAAAAAAGTAACCTCAACAGACACATGAGTGCAGTACATGAGCATAGCAAACCTTTCGAATGTGATATTTGTCATAAATCATTTGGACGAAAAAGTACCCTCAAAACTCACATTGATACAGTTCATAATCAGAGCAAACCCTGTATATGCGACATTTGCCATATATCATTTGCATACCAGAATAACCTAAAAAGTCACAACATGACTGTACATGATAGAAGAAAACCTTTTGAATGTGAGATTTGTCAAAAATCATTTGGAGAAAAAAGTAAACTTAAAAAGCACATAAGTACAGTACACGATCGCAACAAAGCCTTTGAATGTGGAATTTTTTCACAAATCATTTGGATACAAGAGGTACCTCGATAAACACAATAATTTAACACATAACAGTAATGTCAATAAACACATAAGAGCAATACATGATCGTAACAAACCCTTTGAATGTGATATTTGTCAGAAATCATTTGGAGACCAGAATGGACTCAAAAGGCACATCATACAAGTACATAATTGAAGCCAAATTTAGAAAATTAAAAATCATTTCGAGACGTTTGGATATAATGAAGACTCCTACAACATGTGTACACTAAAATATTGAGCAAACTCTTTCACATAAATGTCCTTCAATTTTTGGAAAAAAAAATAAAATATTCGAAACTGTTAATAATTTTGTTGTGACTGCGATAAACCTTCTATTCACCTGTTGTATATAAAATAAAATATATACTATATTTTCTTCGTATCTGCTTCTTATTGATAAATGCGAGCAGAAAATGTTGGTCTTTAAATTGCAATCTCCACAACGGATTTTTATATACGCTGAAAATTAAATAGCTGTAACGATCAATTAAATAGTTCTGCAAGTATAACTCACAATCACACGATCAGACCATCACTTTTATTAAAGAGAATATTTTTTTCGTTTCTCTCCTTTTTTCACTCAACTCTTGCCTCTCTTTCTCCCCCTCTCTACCTCGCCAATATGTATTATATTCGTGAAATTCCGCGGCCCCCACGTGATATATATAATACAAATTTAAGGAATCCTGACAAAAAGAGCTGCTGCTTCTGCTGCTGCGGCGCTCACCCATCCGAGTGAAATGAAATGTACGCGGATCCACCGCATTATATATACCTACACGCGGAGAGATCGGAGCAATTCGGATCGCTCGGGTGGGTCGGTGGGCGCGTATATATACATCTATATAAATTTTCCTCCGCGGAGCTGGGCCCACCCGCAGCCGCGAATAGCTCAAATAGTTATATGTTTTACATTACCTTATATATACTCGATATACGCTTCGGGATGCTGTCGCGGAAAAGTTCGGCTGTATACGGCTGCGATATACCGATAGTACTGGTAACTGCCGCGAGTCAGCTCGAGCATTCGTGCTGCGGGTATATATACGTAGTAGTTCCAAAAGTTTCGCTCGAGTTATGGAATTTCAATCGTTCGCCGCTCTGCGCCAGAACGAGTCAGTCGAAAGAGAGAGAGAGAGACAGACTTCGAGATACTTGATCTCTCTCGTCGCGAATCCGCGATTTATTGTACTCGCGAGAGACGTCTGCGTTTATAAAGTACGAGATTCGCTTATGCACGAGGGCTGCGTTGAAATAGCCAAGAGGGATTGATTTCCCTTCGATGTATTATCGAGATCACATATAAATCGTCCGATCGCTGCATTTGGATGCGAAAATCTGCAGTAACGCATATATAGCTGCTGCAGCTGTGACGCGCCAGTCGCTCGGCAGTTTTTTTTCTATCTTCGATACATATCCCCAACGATAACGAGACCCCCTCGCGTATCTATATCTATCGGTGATGATACTTTGCTGCTCAGCTCGGGCTGCATACTATACAGTAGTTTTTTTCAATTTTCGCCGACGACGACGACGTCGACGACTCGGAGACCATTCGGAGAGGATCCGCCGCTGCGAGCAGAATGTCGAGGTGAATGCATACCGAGTAGCTTCGCCCATTGAGCCAAGTTACTCCTCTCTCTATGTATAAATAATGTATAAGCTTCCTTCGTCGTTGCCTTTCTTCGCTCCTGCATAGCTTCTCTCTCCGAATCTCCAGCTTCTCTCCCGATCGTCGTTCGGGATCTCGCTCGCAGCACACATATTGGATCTATATATACAAGGTGCACATTCGTGCCACTTTTGGCAGAGACTCAAAACTCCACTTTTTTTTTCTATCTCTCTCTATCTTCGTCGTTGTTCGAAAGTGTACTATAATAGCTCAGCTCGTGTGCGCAGCTCGATACGCGATCGCATCATCATCTTCTCGAATATATACGTATAAGCCATCGTACAACCGAGCTTCTTCTTCTTCTTATTCTTTACATAGGCGCATACATATTGTAAGCTTTATAACGTCGGATATATAGAGCACGAGCGGAGCAGCTTAAGCCTCGTCTCGGTAGTACTACTACCCGGCTCGGCTAAGAGTCCCAACGGGGACTGCATGTATGTCTCTCTATGTGCTGTATATAGGTATACAGCGCTGGCATTATAACGCGCCTAAGTGCATAAATTCAACAGCAGCGGTAGCGGCAGCTCGTGCCTATACACACATGTGTCGAGCGTGTGTTTATATTTATTTATACGCGTATAAATATTGCACACCCACATACGCATATAGAATATTTCCGCGCGTGTAATGTTGGTCGAGGCCCGAGGAAGGCTTCGTTCCTGCTTTCGCTTCTGCTGCTGAGTTTTACGGCGGCAACGACGACGACGATCCTATGCCGCCCTCTCCCTCGTTGGCTTTTATATATATATGCCGTATAGATATATATACATGTACGCGTTCGTACACACCCTCGGCAGAGCCATTTACCATCTCCCTCGTGTCGGATGCTGCCGCTGATCGAAACTGCGCCTAGAAGCTCTCACACACACTCTCTCTCTCTCTCTCTCTCTCTCTCTATAGATATATTCAAGTCCGCACATATACAGCATGACTACTGCCGAGCGAGGGCGGGTGTATATAGCTGGGGCTTGGCTAGGCTGCTGCTGCTGCTGCAGAGAGTCGAGGCAAAGCAAGAGAGAGAGAGAAAATTCAACGCCACGGCAACCGGCTACTATATAGAGCTCGCGCGCGGTTTTCCAGCTCCGACGCCGCGCGCCGCTTGCTCGACGTCGGCGAAGAGCGACAAGAACGCATTATACGTACCTTATATATATACCCAGGCTGAGAGACAGCAGATACTTCGCTTTGTATGTACTCATATATATTGTATCGTATTATACATACAAAGTGCGATATGCCGAGAGAGCGCGCGATTTTTTGCGTCAATTTCGAGGCCTTTTTCGCTGCCTAGCGACTCTATGTTATTATTATTATTATCATTATTATCATTATACATAGGCGCGTAGAGAAGATCCCAATGCCTATACAGAAGCAGCCTCATGGCATTATATGTTGTTCGAGTTGTACAAGAGTGAGAGAGAGAGATGAGAAGAAGAAGAGAGCAAAGCAGTTGCTAGGGCTAAAGACGACGACGACGACGACGACGTAGTAGTAGCGGTAGTAGTACTAGTCGAGCTTGTAGCGAGTTTGCTTTAACGAGGAGCTTTCTCGAGGCGTTTTAAAGCTCTGTATACGTATATATATATACACGCGATATATGTATATATACGGGCGCATAGATGACGAGCGCGTGACGACGTCGCGAGTTCGAGGCTTTGAAAGAGCTGCCGCGCGCTGCAGCCCCTAACGCTACACACATATAGCAGCGCTCGGCACCCAAGAGCTTTACCGGATCGTGTGCTGCAATAGCCTCGCTGGAGTAGTTTCGCATACACACAGACACAGGCAGCAGCAGTGCAAAGCTAGGAACTCCAAAACTGGTGTGTGGTACTGCTGCTGCCGCTGCTGCTGTTACTCGCTGCATGCGTATATATATGTAGATACAGAAAATTATACATCTATGGGTGTATGTGTGTGTGTGTGTGTGTACCTTGCCTGCGCTCGACACACTGTTAACTTTCGAGTGTGTTTGCTCAGCCGCCCGAGGATTTGCACCGAGGCAGGCGCAAGGCGCGCAAGCAGGCACAGCAGAGGCGAGCGAGCGAGCGCTGCGCTGCGCGGCGACGTGGCTCGTCCTACTTATTGCCGAGGCGTTGGAGCGCGCGTCGCGAGCTCGCGCCGTTACCTTTAGTTTATGCACACCGAGGATTATTTTTGCCGTTTTTTTTTTTTTTTTTTGGGGGGGTTGCTAAATGCTGCAGTCTCGAAGAGAAGAGAAATATGTTTATATATGCAAGAGAAGGACTTTGACCACGCCTAAAATGCTGTATACAGTTGAAAGCCCTCCGTAATGGAGGCTGAGTTGAGTATTCTTCGAAAAAACGTCGTGAATAAGAATAACTTTGTTGCCGAGAAGTAGACGAGTAAAAATGTTGTATATTTCATTGGATTTTTAAAAATATTTTTTTAAACCACATATCGCTTCTCTTATAATCGAGTTCGAGATCCAGTCATCTCGCTCTAAATCATCTGCTAGATTTGCTACATCTGTTTCACGCTAGGGCGGAAATATTTAAAAAATATCCAATGCGGTAGTCTTTCCGTTTGTTCTAACTTAATGCAAATACTATATTTCCTCTCTTTTGGTTTTTGAGAATTCGGTCTCACGCCATCTAGTGGTAACCTATGAACTACATTGTACCCTACACAGATTTAAAATATGTGGAATTTTAAACATCTTACTCTAGTTCTCAATGCAATAGAGTTTTGTATTTTTAAGCATAATACGTATTCTGTCGTTGTTGAAAGTTATTGGTTTTCAATAGAAACTTTTGTAATTTTCAATTAAATGTAACGTAAAAAGTCGCGAAAATCTGCTTGAATATTCCGGTGCGAGCTTCAATTAAAACTACTTAAAATTTACGAATAATTTTTACAGTGTAGAGTATCCTAGGTATAGTTTCGACTCGGTTCTTAATGATATGCAGCTAACATTGTCGTGAACATGTTTTGTTATTTCCTTCAATCTTCGATCGTGTTGAGCCTTGTGAAACCAAGTTTTAAAACTCGAAAACGGTCGAGTACTCGACCGGAAATCAACTCGACCGAGTCTATTTGTTGCAGGTACTCGCACAACCCGAATCTTCACCTGAGCTTTTCCCTCGTGCAGCAGTTGAAAAGTCGAGCTTTTTCCATAATACTATGCCAACTAATTTGTTGGCATAATTGCCCTGATATATATATATCTCCAACAAAGCACAAAGCAATTGACTGTGAAGAATATGAAAGAGACTTTGAATTTGTCGCGCGCGAGCAAAACTGATCAAACTCTCTCTCTCTTAGTTTCTATCGTGGCAGGCCAATTTCGCGGTATAATTCGACCAAGGGCTGTGTGCTTGCGCGCCACAAGCATTGTCGAATCATCGTCGTCGTCGTCGTCGTCAGAGAGAATATTATCTCAGCTACAGCAAAGTTCAACACAATGCCCAGGCAAGTTCGACGGATATAGATATATATTGTAATGCGACTACGACAGTTTCGAAAGGTGGCAGGGGGGGGGCGAGGGGAAGTCCAACTCTCGAGCACAGAGCAGGATTTTGAAATTGCTCTCGC